AACTCAGTAAGTGTTCATTTGGGGTGGAAACAATAGAGTACCTTGGCCATGTGGTTTCTGGAAATGGTGTCCAAGCTGATCCTAACAAGATTTTAGCCATGATTCAATGGCCCATTCCACGCACAATCAAGCAGCTTAGAGGTTTTTTTGGGATTGACAGGATATTATAGGCGTTTTGTGCAATAATATGCCTCCTTAGCCACACCCCTCACTGATTTGCTCAAGAGTGATTCCTTCCATTGGTTACCGGAGGTGGAAGATGCCTTTGTAACTCTTAAGAAGGTCATGAATGAAACTCCTGTGCTACGTCTTCCTAATTTTGCCTTACCTTTCATTATAGAATCAGATGCTTCTAATTCTGGTGTGGGAGCTGTTTTGTTGCAGGAAGGCAGACCCATTTCGTATTTTAGCAAGAAATTATGACCAAGAATGCAAGTGGCATCTACCTACGTACGAGAATTATATGCTGTCACTGAAGTTGTTAAGCGTTGGAGACATTATTTACTTGGATCCAAATTTGTCATAAAAACAGATCATAGAAGTCTTAAAGAGCTCTTGACACAAACGATTTCTACACCTGAGCAGCAAAAGTATGTGTGCAAGCTCCTAGGCTTTGACTTCACTATTGAATATAAGAGTGGAGCCTCCAATATCGTGGCTGATGCTTTGTCCAGAAGCTGTGAAGATAGCTCAGTTGTTGAAGCTTCCCTGTTGTGTTTGGTTTCAAATCCAACTTATGCAATTATGGACCAACTTCGTGAGGAGAACAATTCAGATTCATATCTCCTAGATATACAGCAGCAGCTCTTAAACAACAATTGTATGGATCAATCTATCACCTTTCGAGATGGCTTATTATACCAGAAAGGAAGGTATCTTATTAGTCCTACATCTTCCTTGAAGCAGATTCTAATTCGGGAGGCACACTCTTCACCCCTAGGAGGTCATGCAGGCATCACTCGAACATTTTTGAGGTTGTCAGCTTCTTTTTTCTGGAATCACATGCGCAAGGATGTTATTACATTTGTGAAGGAGTGTCCAACATGTCAATATGTTAAAACAGCAACCACTCCTCCATTGGTCCTTTTACATCCTTTACCAGTTCCAGAAGGCGTATTCGAGGATCTTAGCCTTGATTTCATCACAGGACTGCCCTTATCAGCTGGATTTTCTGCTATATTGGTGGTTGTGGATCGGTTAACTAAGTATGCCCACTTTGGGCCTCTTCCAGCCACTTATACTGCATCTTCTGTGGCTAAACTTTTCTGTGACATTGTGGTTAAACTGCATTGGTTTCCTAAGTCCCTGGTATCTGATAATATTTGTTAGCCAATTTTGGTCTTCATTATTCAGATTAAGTGGAACTACCTTGAAAATGAGCTCAGCTTACCATCCACAAACCGACGGCCAAACTGAGGTTACAAACCGGTATTTGGAGCAATATCTGAGGGCTTACTGCCATGATCAAAATAAGAAGTGGTCCTTGTACCTTGGATGGGCTGAATTGCATTACAACACAACCAATCACTCTTCCATAGGCATGTCACCCTTTGAAGCCTTGTATGGGAAACAGCCTACTTTGATTCCATCCTATAATCAAGGTTCAGTCCGAGTTGATGCTCTAGATGAAATGCTTTCTCACAGGAATGAACTCCTTACAGATCTTAAGCATCATTTGCAAGCAGCCCAAAACGGAATGAAGGTCATTGCTGATAAGCATAGGAGAGATAAGGAATTGGCTGTGGGAGACTTGGTTTTAGTTAAACTCCAGCCTTATAGGCAGATTTCTTTGGCACGAAGGTGTAATCAAAAACTTGCTAAACGATATTATGGACCATTTTCTGTCAAGAAGGTACTCAGCAGAGTTGCTTATCAACTAGAATTGCCTCCAGAATCTCGTATCCATCCTTCCTTTCACATTTCTGTTTTGAAACCATTTATTGGCAATCCAAATGTTCCTGTATTTGATTTACCCACTACTTACCGGGACAACTAACCATTACAGCATCCAGTAGCTGTCCTTAGCTCACGAGACTTAACTCAGCAAAGATCACTAATGAGGCAATGGCTTGTCCAGTGGTCCCACTCTTTACTTGAAGATGCCACATGGGAGAATGAGGAAGACCTCCGTCAGTTTTATCCTGAGTTTGGACCTTGTGGTCAAGGTCCCTTTTGAAGGGAGGAAGAGTGATACGGATGCAGGAGCAAATGCAACTGAGCAAGAGGCAGATGCAACTAACCATGATGAAACTCAGCAGGCTAGGCCCAAGAGAATAGTTGGGGCTCCTAGTTGGGCTGTCGATTACTATTGAGTTGTGTAATGTAGGTACAGGTGTCAAGCTTAGGCAGTTATGGGCTTGTGATGTGTCATTAATAATCTGTTGTAAGCATATGTGTCTTCATATGGTAGTTAGACTCTTGTAAGGTGTCGTGAATTGGGTATATAACACTATGTAACAGAATTGGTTGGTATTATTGAATAAGAAATTGTTTCTCTGTTCGTTTCGAATTCCTGCTCTTATCAGAGAGGAAACAAGATTTCTTTATTTAGAATTTTCATGGTAACTACATTGATTTTTCCCTTTTTTAAATCCTAAGTAAAGGTGTTAAATCACCCTCAATGTTACTGTTAAAATTGTTATTATCCAATAAACAACAGATATAACAAAGTCAAAATACAGTATATCTATACAAAAATCATACATCACAATAGTATCACCACATCAACTATCACTCAAAGTGCTTACGGTCACCTTTGATTCCTCTTGGTTCTTCCTTCTGGTACCTTCCTACTTTCTTCCTGCTACCTAAGCTCCACTTTTTCTACGGTAGAGTGCAGTCATGGTTCCATTCTCTTCTTCAGCCGCCATTGATGTTAGTCCTTATGGTTGTTGTTGCCTTTAAATTTTAAATGACTCTAGGAAAAATGGTTTAGGATATTAAAATATGTAAAAAGCATTTTCCTTGTGTTTCATAGAGTGCTTCCAATGTGAATGTGCTCTTGACTCGTGCAATTTGAAACATTACTTTGAGTTCATGCAATGCACTTATAAAATATCTTATAATCTTTCTAAGTCCTAAAAATATATTATAAAGGGTCTTGGACTTAGCTTCAAGTTTGAAATATGGACTTGGGTTAAGCAATTCTTGATGCTTTTGTTGGATTGCTTCTTAATTCCTTTTGTATTATTTCACATGACTCCACATAATTTATATTATACCACCCACCAACAAAAAATAAAGCCAATGGCTACATAAGCTTCTTGAAAAAGTATTTTTTTAAATAAAAGTCACATTTAAAAAATTTATAATAATTTTTTTTAAAAGTAAAATATTAATTTTTATGTTTTTTTAAGTTAGAAAAGTAATATTTTAATTTTTTGAAAATAAACTATATCATAGAAGTATATATTTTAATATAATTAATTTTTTTAAAAGTAAAAAATCAATTTTTGTGTTATCTGAAGTTAGAAAAATAATTTTTAAATAATAACAAGAGTAAATATCCTTTTTGGTCCCTAACAAAAAAATACGGTCCCCACTTTAGTCCCTTATAAAAAAAATTAGTCAGTTGGTCCTTAACAAGTTCAAAGTGGACCCATTTAGTTGAAATTGTGGTCCTCATAATTTCAAAAAAGACCCATATTAGTCCCTCAAAAGGACTAAAATGGGTCCACTTTAAATTTGTTAGGAACCAACTGATTAATTTTTTTTTTGTAAGGAACTAAAGTGAGACCGTGTTTTTTGTTAGGAACCCAAAAATATATTTAATCTAATAACAAATGATAGATAGAAGCACATTTATGATTAATAAATTTAATATTGAAAAACTGAATATATTATTGAATGTTTTTAACTTTTTATTCTTTAAAGATCATGTTACCCATTTAATATTATTTTCCTTTAAAAATAACTTTCAAATAATTGAACAACTAAAAAGTGATTTTTTTTTTATTTTTTTTATTTTTGGGATCCCTCAGTCCTTAGGAGTTAGGAGTGCTGTGCAGATATTCGCTGTCTCCTTTTTAATTATTCCAATGGCGACAAAGACAGTCCCAATCGAGGCGGGCCACATGCCCATTACACGGATAAAAACAAAAATAAAAAAATAAATATAAATGCTATCTAATGAACTTTATTTAATTAGTTTTATATAATTTTTCATACTACATACTTGATTAATAAAATAAGGATATTTTAGATAAAATTAATTAAATAAATAAAATAAAGGTTCATTTCTTCTGCAGATAAATTATCTGCAGTAAGCCAATACGACGTCGTTTTGGGTCGAAAATCATGGTATTTTTAATATTTTAATTTATTTTAGAGTTATAATAGTCTTTATATTTATAATTTTTTAAGATTTTAATACCAAAACGACGTTATTTTAGGAATAAATGTAGACAATTTCTCTGTATTAACTGCGGAAACATTTTTCCCATAAAATAAACACACATGATAAGAAATATTTTCTTTAAAAGGACCTTTTAGTAATTATTAATAATTACATATACTATATTAAGGTCCACCATCAATTTTATAGAAAGATAATATTTTCGTACATTTTATCTAATATATAACAAGACACTCTCATGATCTCATCTTTAGCTTTTCAGATTTACCTAATAAAAAGAATTTTCTGTTAATTCAAATGAATTCTCCTTTTTTTTATTTTTTTAATTTGCTTTGATTCTCCTTCATTGTTAATATTATTATTATTTGAAAAAAAGGACAAATTATATTTATAAATTTTTTTATGTATAAACTCTTACAAATTACATTTTCTCTTAAGAGAACACTAACTTACACTATATTTTTCTTGAAAAAAAAATAGTGTAAGATAATATAATTTATAAAAATTTATAAAAAAATTTGTAAACCGATACTTGTGTTTGTAAATAATATCCAATGTTTCCTTGTCCTGTCTCTATTTATTAATGATTATATCCCGGCATTGGCAAAACAGGCTATTGGAATGTTTCAAGTTTCAACCTTAACATCAACTAAGATCTGTACTTCACGTATCCATTGGTCCAAGATTAAGCAGAAAAAAAAGATGAACTTTTATCTAAAAAATTATCAGAATTTGCTGATAAAGTTCCACACTTTCAAAAGCTGATTTCAATTTGGCAACTGGGTATTTGATTTCTTTGCTGGTAGTGGTGGTTTTGTGGAAGAATGAAGGTGGATAAGATTGAAGAGAGTGGTGTGAGGTTGTTGGGTAGAAGCAATAGCAGCAGTGGCGGGAGCAGTGAGTCAAGGTGGGTTGATGGCAGTGAAGTGGACTGGGATGAGGTACTTCCATGGTCTAAGCACCATGGTAGAGAAGGCTATGGTTCAATCAGGAGGAGGCTTATCAAGAAGCCCAAGAGAGTTGATTCTTTTGATGTTGAAGCCATGGAGATTGCTGGAACTCATGATCAACATCACAAGGTAAATTTTTTTGAGGTTTTATCATTTCTTTTAAGTTCTTGGGGACAACAAATACTTAGCTAGAATAACACTTTAAATGTTTATCTTTTTTTTAATGTATTATAAAATATTCATGATCTGTGCTATGTGTTATTTAGTAAAAACACCAATTTGATTTTGTCAGATTCTTTGGACATTGAAAGATGTTTGGGAAGTAATGGGGTGATTGATGATATGAATAATTAGTATAGTTGTGTTGAAAAAGAAAGTCAGAGATTTCAAAAGCTACCCTGTCAATGAGTTGAATTGAAAGTCTAAAAATAAAAGAACCACATACCCTAAAGAAAAGAAATGAACAAATTAGAAGATATAGGTTTCAGGAACCTAAGCCTCAGAGTTTGGGAATATTAGTGAACACTTAACAGTTGAAACTAACACAGTGGCCATGAGATGAGTGTATAGAAATGCAAGGTCTTCTATTTTAACGAAATTATTGTAGTCAATGCAATTGTGCATGCATGCGACTGCTTTGGGCATTTATGAAATTGCTTTTCCTCATGCCAATTACTTTTCTTATAAAAAAATTTCCTGGCTGAGGAAGCAGTTGAAGGTTAAACATTTGTAAGATGGCATAGCCAATTGCAACTACACTAATAATTGTGAATTCATGGAGCATTTGAATGTTAGAGATTTTCTCATGCTCACTTCCACATTTCTAATAGACACTCTACAGTGTTAACTTCCACTTCATCATTTATTTAACAGTGTACATATATAGTCACCTTCACCTCACTCTTTTTAATCTTTTGTACTTATGTGAATCAGGACGTTTCCATTTGGCCAACTCTTGTATTAGCATTTAAGACTCTTGGTGTGGTATATGGTGACATGGGAACAAGTCCTCTATATGTTTTTGCTGATGTCTTCAGCAAGGTTCCAATTGGATCAGATGTTGATATCTTGGGGGCGTTATCATTAGTAATGTATACAATAGCCCTTATTCCATTAGCCAAATATGTTTTTATAGTCCTCAAAGCAAATGATAATGGAGAAGGTAAGATGTTTACTTTCCCACTCAGAATTACCTACTTTGGTTCATTCAGACGTATTGTAAATCACATTATACATTATTGGCTCAACTGTAGGAGGAACTTTTGCGCTATACTCGCTGATTTGCAGGTATGCAAATGTGAATCTGCTTCCAAATCGTCAACAAGCTGATGAACAGATCTCTAGTTTTAAGCTCAAACTGCCTACTCCAGAATTGGAAAGGGCTTTAAAAATAAAGGAAATTTTGGAAACGAAAAACACTTTGAAAAACCTATTGTTGGTGTTGGTTCTTCTGGGAACTTCCTTGATTATTGGAGATGGTATTCTAACCCCAGCAATATCAGGTACATAAGCAAGTTACTTTTTGACATGAAATTCTGTTGTAAATTTTTGGTTTGTATCATATGATCAATGCTGGCATGAAATTTGACCATAAACATTTGTCTCTGAGCTAAACTTGTCATACTAATTATAGCACTCACAGTAAATCTCTTAGCTAATCACTATAGAAGTCCACTAATATCAATCAAGTGGCTTTCTGAAATTGTCTGCCAGAACAGTCTCTTGATTTCTAATCTGAGATTTTAATTTGAATTCTCGATTTGGTAAGTGTACGATATTGTAAGGATTGGACTGCCATCCTAATGACATCCTGTGTACAAAAAGAAGATTTATTATAGATGTTAGCTTCTTTAATGCTGAACATCTCTCTAATGAGGTGATGGTCTAATTTCTGGCTCTAAATCCTCCAACTATTAACGAGGAGCACACTAACTATATGCAGCCCCCTCTTTGTGGGGCTGCAGTTGTGATTTCTTATAGGGACTAGACTACTGATTGTATTGGCACTTTGCTTCCACTGTCCTTTTCAGATAACATACCACCATTCCTCCTCCTTCGAATTTTTGTTATTTGTTTATCATTTTTAATGTCAACGTAGGACTGATGTTAAGAAATTTTTTGATTGTAGTGCAACTTAAGTATAACCGTGGTGCTTCTTTGTTGCAGTGATGTCTGCCATAAGTGGTCTGCAGGGTCAAATAAATGGATTTGGTACAGGTAGGTATACTTTCCTTTACTATCCAAGAATTCTACATTTTATTTTATTTTCTGGACGAAGAAAAGAAATAATAGATATATAATATAAGCAAAGATGAGAAAACTCATAAAATTAGGGAGGGGGTTTGTTATGCAATTCCGAGTCACTTTCTGTTTTTTCCACGTATTGTGAATATAGGAAAACTTCTTTTACATGTTAGCTTTTGATGGAAATTCTTGTGGCTACTGCTTGCTTTCTTTTAGGAAGATATAACTTTATGATCAAAGTATCCACATATCTATGGAGATATGAACTCGTGGCCTTTTAACGTTGGTTCAACTATTCTACATAATTAATAGCCAATCAGAAAATTACAAGATATGAATCCAGTTAAATCTGATAAAAACATCTCCTTTTCTTCTTTTTTATTTCCTCACTTACAATACATACATACATACATACATACATACATATATATATATATATATAATACATACAAGTGATTAAAATATGACTCCTAATTTGGCTCCTAAATTATAGCAATTATATCTCCTGCCTGACTCCTAAATTAGAGCTATTACAACTCATGCTAACACTCTCAAGTGGGTGAAAAGATGTCTTTGATACCTGTTGAGATATATAAAACCATTAATGTAGCCTCACCCAAGAGCTTAAGCTTTTGGGTTGAATTGGTTCTTTACATGGTATCAGAGCCTCGTGTCCCGGGTTCGATCCTCGCCGCCCCCCACTTTCTTTCAAGTGGAATTTCTTTGTTCGCACAGGTAGATGGACCTGTACATTGTCCACCCTTCAAGCCCAGTGGGCTCTCATGTGAGGGGGCATGTTGAGATATATAAAACCATTAATGTAGCCTCACCCAAGAGCTTAAGCTCTTGGGTTGAATTGGTTCTTTACAATACCCAACGTGGCAAGCGAGGTATGGAAGATTTTACCGGATACTGCTTTTGTCAATATGTCTGCCAACTGATCTTCAAATTTGAAAGAGGGTAGCTGAATACCCTTGTCTCTAAATTTCGTTTCACGAAATATCTATCAACTTCACATGTTGGATTGGGTTGTGAGTATCAATTGCTGCTTTGTTATCATAGAACAATCTCATTTTAGTTTTTGGTGTGAAACCAAGTTCTGTCATCAACCTTTTTAGCCATAATAACTCACACAACTCTCCACTTGACAAGACAACCACCTTATGTTTCTTGCTCCTTCATGTAACCAAGTTACCTCCCACAAATGAAATATCTTGATGTGGATTTTCTGTCTGTGATGTTGTTTGCCCAGTCTGCATCTGTAAACTATTCTATCTCAAGATGGCTTTTTTTGCAAAGTAGAGACCCTTATTAGTAGGAACTTGATCTGGGTACTAACCAAGCCTATGGTTTTAGACTATGGGGGTATCAACTGGTTTGCACTCAACATCCTAACCTCGGATAATAAGTCTAGCACATATTTCCTCAGATACAAGAAAATGCCTTTGATCTAGCGATTTCAATTCCCAAGAAGTATTTCAATCCTCTTAGATTTTCCGTCTCAAAACTCTTCTGCTGGCCTTTCTTGGGGTTCTGAGATCTCCTCAAGATAACCATATCATGTACATATATAATCAAGGTTGTTATCTTGCCTCACATTACTTCAGGAATAATTTATGGTTTGAGTTGCTTTGATAGTAATCGTACCTTTTCATTGCTGAGCTGAAATGACCAAACTAGGCACGAGGAGACTGTTTCAATCGATTTATAGACCGTTCCAATTTACATATCACTTTGGGCTGAGTAGCACACATACTCTGGTGGAATGTCCATATAAATCGCTTCTTCCAAATCAACATTTAGGAATGTATTTTTCACGTTGGACTAGTGTAGTGGCCAGTCCATTTTTGCTGCCAGAGAGAGAGAGAGAGCAATACCCTTACATAATTAAGTTTATCCGCAGGAGAAAAAGTTTACATAATTAAGTTTATGGAACTACAGAAATAAACAAATTAGCGTTTTGCACAACAAAGCTTAGATTTGTATTTCATGATCTTACTTGCAGGTGAAGTTGTTGGTGTTTCTATTGTAGTCCTGGTGGCTTTGTTCAGCATACAGCGGTTTGGTACCAGTAAAGTGGGTTTCATGTTTGCCCCTGTAATTGCTTTATGGTTCCTATCTCTGGGTTCTATTGGAATATATAATATACTTAAGTATGATATTACTGTTTTGAGAGCATTCAATCCAGTCTATATCTATTATTTCTTCAAGAATAATGGCAAAGGTGCATGGTCAGCTCTTGGTGGTTGTGTTCTGTGCATTACAGGTATATCTTTTTCTCTTTTTCATGGCTTCAAACTGTGAGCACTGCAATTGATTGGCATAATATTTGGACATATTTACTTGTCAACATAGATTATAGGCTTCTTTCTGACCCCATGAACATGATCTTTGCTTCTTCCTTCATTTCATTAGTGTGTTTGCAATGCTCACCACATTTTTCATTTGTAGCTTGTGTTTGCTCTAGAAGTTTAGAAATGTGAGCCAGTATAGCACATAGATCACTCAAATGGTTAGAAAGAGGGAAGATGGATATCATTCCTAATGAATGAGTAAAGAAAGTGGTTGCCCAGAACAGAAAATTGATAATAGATCCATTCATTTAATTTATGACATTTTGCCATTTTAAGATACTTTACTCAACATCAAGTTTGCTTTTCTGTTTCTTGCTGCTTGCTGTGGTATGTAGCACCAAACAATACCATGCCGAATTACGTTTGTTAAGCAGAGCTGGACATTAATGATAGCTGGTTTCACTTAATTTATACCATTTTTCCATTCCTATAATTGTTTATGAAGTTTTTGTTCTTTTAAGTTATTTACAAAGCAATTTCAATCATTCAGAAAATTAAAAATGCATTCTTGTCCTTCTAGATGAGAAATTTATAATGCGTATAAACAACACTTCAGGACAATGAATCAGAAAATTATATTACTTGCTGGTATATTCCTCCGCAGGTGCTGAGGCAATGTTTGCAGATCTGGGTCATTTCACAGTACCATCAATTCAGGTTTTTTGAATCCTCAAATTGTTTCTTTCCAAAGAGTAAACCATTCAATACCAAAAAAGAAAAAGAAAAAAAGAGTAAACATTAAGTTTGTGTTACTAAGTCTTCTATAACTATTTCAATTTACTTTCTTAATTCTCTTGTATAATTGCTTATACAGATTGCCTTCACTTGTATGGTATTTCCCTGTCTCCTCCTTGCTTATATGGGCCAAGCTGCTTATTTGGTGAAGAACCCCACTTCTTATTCAAGGATATTCTACGACTCTGTTCCAGGTAATATTTGCTGACACAATGACTGCTTGTGTTTATACATACAAGTCATTAGTGTCCATATAAAAAGGGCAAACCCCATGCACAAGGCTCCCCGGCTTGCGAGGTTAGGGGTGAGGGTTGATTTTACACAGCATTACTCTTGCATTTTTACAAAGAGATTGTTTTTCAAATTTGAACCCGTAACCTTCTCGTCACAAGGAACAATCTTATTGTTGCTCCAAGGTTTGCCCTCTCATTATTGTCCTTATAAATATAGAAAAAATGACAATGTGGTGCTATAAAGCTCCTGCCATGTGCATGGTCCAGGGAAGGGTCAGACTCCTTGTTGTGTGGGTCTATAGTAGGCAGTTGCAAGAGGCTGATTATATGAATAGAACCTGTGACCTCCGGGTCACATGACTCAGTCACCGAAAAACAAATTTGCGACTACTCTAGGCTCGCCCTCTTTGTCCTTATAACTATAATTATGAGATATTTGTTATGCATAGTAATTGTGTTGATACCTACTGTTTGTGCTTTGTATGAAACAGGGAGTCTCTTCTGGCCTGTGTTTGTTATAGCCACACTTGCCGCAATGATTGCCAGCCAAGCAATGATATCTGCTACATTTTCATGCGTAAAGCAATCTATGGCTTTGGGATGCTTCCCCAGGCTCAAGATAATTCACACCTCAAAAAAGTTCATGGGTCAAATTTATATCCCTGTTATTAATTGGTTTCTGATGATCATGTGCATAGTTGTGGTTTCCATCTTCCAAAGCACTACTGATATTGCAAATGCATATGGTAAAGTATCCCCCCATCTCAGTTGTCTATGCTTATCAAATTATTATATATAAAATGATTCAATATATCAGAATTTCACAATTTTTATATTGTGGTTTTACATATATGTTTGATGTTAATGATTTCAACTGCAAAAATAATGTAATAACATCAATTGATTAACTTGTAAATTGTAATTTCTTTTCTCTTATTTATATTATAAATCGACTTGTGTTCCATTTCTGTACACAAATGCACGTCTTATGTGTTGAAATACATTCAGAACATTTACATCGATCATGGGATTTACAGTATTATGAGCTTGTTTTACATAATTGATGGTACCATCTGCCAAATACTTCATAAACACTTGATGCGGCCTTAATTCAAAGATGTTTAATTTACAGAGGGAAGGAGCCAAATGATTTTGATATCACATAGCACGCATGCATTATACTGAAGACTATTTGTGGTTTATCTGTACTAATGCAATTCATATCATTGTTTGCAGGCATTGCTGAAGTTGGTGTCATGATGGTTAGCACCACCTTGGTGACACTTGTAATGCTTTTAATTTGGCAGACTAACTTGTTTTTGGCATTTTGTTTCCCAATTATATTCGGTTCAGTGGAGCTCACTTACATGTCTTCTGTCCTATCAAAAATCTTTGAGGGTGGTTGGCTTCCACTTGCCTTTGCTACCTTTTTTCTCTCTGTGATGTACACCTGGAACTATGGGAGTGTATTGAAGTACCGAAGTGAAGTTAGAGAGAAGGTTTCAATGGACTTGATGCTTGAACTTGGCTCCAATCTTGGAACAGTGAGAGTGCCAGGAATAGGATTGCTATATAATGAACTTGTCCATGGCATTCCCTCTATTTTTGTGCAGTTCTTGCTAAGCCTTCCAGCTCTTCACTCTACTATAGTTTTTGTCTGCATTAAATATGTCCCAATCCCTGTGGTTCCTCAAGAGGAAAGGTTCCTATTTCGAAGAGTTTGCCCGAAAGATTACCATATGTTCCGCTGTGTTGCAAGGTATGGTTACAAAGATGTAAGGAAGGAAGATCACCATGCATTTGAGCAACTTCTTATTGAAAGTCTTGAGAAATTCTTGAGAATAGAAGCTCAAGAAACTGCCTTGGAATTGGAGGGAAACTTAACTGACAACACGGACAATGTCTCAGTGAATACAAGGGATTCTGATATTCCTGCTGGTAGTGTGGCAGAGGAGCTTAGGATTCCACTGATGCATGGTCAGAATTCAGAAGAAACAGAAGCTTCTACGTCTTGGGAAGCTCCATCGGCATTACCATCTAGTTACATGGCTTCAGATGAAGATCCTGGTCTTGAATATGAGCTTGCAGCACTAAGAGAAGCAATAGAATCAGGATGCACCTATTTGCTTGGACATGGGTCTGTGAGGGCAAAGAAGAACTCTCTTTTCTTTAAGAAATTGGTGATAAATTATTTCTATGCATTTCTCAGGAAGAACTGCAGAGGAGGTACTGCAAACATGAGAGTACCTCACACCAATATCATTCAAGTGGGGATGACATATATGGTGTGACTGAGCCAACTTTCTGATAATTATGCAATGCAACCTCAGTCTGAAACACATGCTGTTATTGGTATTTTTCTTTATTGTCAACAGTGATTGGTAAAATTTTCGTAGTATATGTTGGCTCACCAATGTAATTTGTCTTCAGAACTCTCGGCTTGTGTTGCATGTTACCAAAGTGATGGAGCCAACTTAGTTCATATATGACATTGTTTCAGAATCTTTGCTTGTGTAATTGTTTCATTTCTCAACCCATAATGTAAAGTAAAAATTCATTGGTGTTTGTACATTTTTATGTTTTATGGGCCAAGCCAGCGAAAGCTCTGCTAGACCCCAGTTGTTCTGAGTTGATAGACCAAAATATGCTTTGATAGAATATAACCTTACTGATTAGCTGGCACTTAGTTAGATTAGTGTAGATGACTCACCAACATTATGTGGGTCCTTATATAATACTCAAGTGTATCTGTTACTGATTCATTCTGATTTTATATAATAAAATCAATATGTGCATTTCTCAAATTCTCTTTGAACCCTAGATCCCCTTTTTACTTTCATCTCTTTGTTACTGGTTCTGATACCTTTATGATATTAGAGCTTAATCGATCTATGGCGTCATCTTCCACCACCAACAATGTCTTGCACACTTTCTCAAATCCAGTCTCATTCAAACTCGATGAGACAAATTTTCTTCCGTGGAAACAGCAAGCGCTATCCACCACAAAAGGATTCAAACTCCAACGATTCATCACAACAGAGCTTAAAAGAAATCCTCAGAGCGAAAGATCTGAAGAAACAAATGCATAAACAGAGCTATGTGAACAACAAGATCAACTTCTGATGTCTTGGCTGCTTTCATCCATGTCTGAAGCTTTGTATACAAGAATGGTAGGTTGTGAATCCAACTACCAGATCTGGCAGAAACTCAACGAATTCTTTGTTTCGCAAACACAAGCAAAGGTGAAGCAACTCAAGATTGCGCTAAAGAACACCAAGAAGGAAGGTCCGGTCTCAAGCTATCTTCTTCAAGTAAAGAAAATTGTTGATTCTCTTGCTGCCACAGGTTCATCAGTGTCTGTGGAAGAACACATTGATGCAATTCTTGATGGCTTAAATGAAGAATATGACTCATTTGTCACCTCCATTACTTCAAGAACGGACGCTTACACTATAGCTGAGATAGAAGCTCCCTTGATGGCTCAAGAAGAGCGCATAGAGAAAAGATCGAAGCCTAATGTGAACACTCTACAAGCACACATTGCTCAAATGAGGTTACCATACAATAGAGAACAAACGTTCAACAGAGGAGGAAATCAAAACTTCTTTCATAGAGGTCGAGGCTATTATCGTGGAGGAAGAAATAACAAAGGAGGTAGAGGAAATCAAAACAATGGAAGACCTTTCTGCCAAGTGTGTGGTAAACCTGGTCATGTTGCTTGGAATTGCTATCATCGTTTCAATCAGAATTTTCCTAATCCTCAAGACCAAGCAAAAGGAAATGGAGGTAGATACAACTCAAATATTCAAGCCATCATAGCTGAAACAAGCAACCACAACACTGCTGTTGATGAAGCAGATTTCTTCTCTGTTTTTGATCAAGCGTGGTACCCAGACTCAGGGGCTACAAACCACTTCACTCCATACCCAAGCAACCTTATGTCTAAGGCCAACTACACTAGACAAGATTCAGTCCAAATAGGTAATGGCTCCTCTATGAAAATAAAGCATTGTGGACACTCAATCCTCCACTCACCATCCAACTCTATTTCTTTCACCTTACCCAATCTTTTGCATGTACCTGGACTGTCCAAAAATTTACTCAGTGTATCTCAATTTGCAAGAGATCATAATGTTTTCTTTGAATTTTATGCTTACTGTTGTTTTGTGAAATCCCAGGCCACCAAGGAGATCCTTCTCCAAGGATCAATTAAAAATGGCCTCTGCCTTTGAAGGGGTGAAGATCTAATTTCATACGACATTAAACATTGTTACTGTTTCAAATAAGCATGTACCTTTGATGTGCCTCTGGCATGTGATGTTTTCCAAGCCAAAAATAATAAGAAATCAGTCATAAAAGAGCTTTTCTTGTATATTAATTACTTTTATTAGTTAGTTTTCCTATTTCGGTTTATTTTTCATCTTTTATATCATTTTTGCAGGTTAAAGCAAGAAGAAATAGGAAAAATTGAGAAAAATTGAAAAAGGAAAGTGGCGCTACCCGCGCCACTTTGGCGCTGTTGCAGCGCCGGAAGCAGTACAAAGACCAGAAAGTTGGCGCGGGAGCCGAGCCAGTTTGGCGCTACCCGCGCGAGAAACCAACAAAGGCTAAGATGTTGGCGCTAGACCCGAGCCAGAATGGCGCTACCCGCGCGGATTTCAGCGTGGAGGCAATTTCGAACTTAAAAGGACGCTGCGAGGGTTCTTTAGGTTACTTTTTGACGACGGAGCAGAACAAGGATTCGTGAAGGAAGAGAAGAGCAGATGATCATTCTCCGTTCCTCCTAGTAATTTTATTTTGAATTCTATTTTATAATTTTATGTCAGCCATGTCTATGGCTCGCTAATTTCTTTTATTGTAGTTAGGGTCACAAACCCTATGTGAACCATTTTCACCCTGGATTGATTATTTTTGCTCGTTTATTTTAATATATTTTATTTTTACCCTGTGCCTATTGATATTATTTCTTTTAGACTTGATCAACCTAATAGGAGATAATAATTTGGAAATTAGGGTTCGCAATAGGAATATTGGGATTTTTGATTCTGAAAGGGGGTAAGGTAACAATTTATGCATGCTCTAGAGATAGACTTGTGTGAGTTGCAGTCGTTTGATTTATCGTGATTAATGCTTAATTTCATGCGGGGTTGCTAAAGGATTAGGATTCCAATTGAATTAAAGGGTTAGATTGCGAAGGGATTGAGATTTAACTAATTATTTAAGATGATAATTTGTCTGAGTTATTAAATTGAATGAACGTTGTCAATCAATCCAAAGTTTAAAGTGGAGATCATATGGTGCGTGTACCTTAGCTGTAATGCTTTTTATTATTCTCTCAAAAAAATATCCAAAGTTGACCATTGCTATTTAAATTGAAATTTTATATTTTAAATTTCTGTCTTTATTTTACCATTAATTCACTATTTTCCAAAAACAACTGAGTTTTTCAACTTAAGGGGACTGGTTATTGTGGTACTTGGTTTACAATCCCTGTGGAGACGATACTCTACTTACTCATTATATTACTTGTGCGATCGGTATACTTGCCGGTGAGCATCAAGTTTTTGTACCTTCATCTGTAAACAACAATACTTCCTTGTCTAAAATTGATAGCACTTTATTTTTGTGGCATGGAAGACTAGGTCATGCCTCTTTACCCACAGTTAAACGTGTACTACATCATTGTAATATTCCATTCAGCAATAATACTTTACCTTTTACTTGTTGTGCTTGCTGTATGGGAAAAATGCATCAATTACCCTTTCCTCCTTCTTCGGGTACCTATACTAAACCTCTTGAACTTATCTTCTCTGACATTTGGGGACCTGCACCAATCATAAGTACCACAGGTGCTAAATACTACATATTCTTTATTGATGCCTTCACCCGATACACCTGGTTATATCCCTTGGAAACAAAGTCCCAAGCCCTCACCACTTTTCTCACATTCAAGACTATGGTTGAACTGCAATTTGACACAAAACTAAAAGCCATTCAAACTGACAATGCCGAAGAATATCTCACATTTTCTCTTTTTCTTACCAAACAAGGCATCCTTCATAGACTTAGCTGCCCTCATACACACCAACAAAATGGCACTCCTGAAAGAAAACACAGGTATATTATTGATACAGGTTTAGCCCTTCTAGCTGCTTCTGGTTTACCTAAAAAGTATTGATCTGAAGCCTTTCTCACTGCAACCTTTATTATAAACAAACTTCCAACACCTACACTTCAAAATCTTTCTCCACATGAAATGCTTTATCAAAAAAACCCTGACTATACCTTCTTAAAAACTTTTGGTTGTGCTTGTTATCCTCATCTTCGACCATACAATACTCACAAGTTTGATTATCGTACCATTCAATGCACCTTTCTTGGCTATTGTAGTCAACACAAAGGGTACAAATGTTTATCCTCTACTGGTAAGATCTTCATAGCCCGTAATGTCATTTTTTATGAGACTTTCTTTCCATTTAAAAATATTAAAACCTCACCTACACAATCACTATCACCTTCCTTTCCTACACCTATTCCAGCCATACCTACTGTAGCTACCTCTCAACCACCTACTAATCCTAACTTGAGTGTCTCTAATGCTGTATTTTCTACTGGTTCTTCTTTTCTTGTTTCTTCTGTTTCTTGCAGGTCTCCTCATTCTAGTACAGCTGCTGCCCAACCTTTTGCAGCACCAGATCCTAATCAGCATTCTATGATCACTAGATCCAAGGCAGGGTGATTCAAACCAAAGGCTTATCTTACTTCTATTGAGCCATCTTCAGTCGCTCAAGCCATTACTCAACCTCATTGGCACAAGGCAATGAAAGATGAATATGAAGCTCTAATTCGCAACAACACATGGCAGCTTGTCACTCTGCCCTCTGGCTGCATCCCAATTGGTTGTAAATGGGTTTTTCGAACCAATTATAATTCAGATGGATCTATCTCAAAATACAAAGCAAGACTAGTTGCCAAGGGATTCCACCAACATGAAGGACTTGACAATGCTGAAACTTTCAGTCCTGCGGTGAAGCCAGCTACAATCCGAATTGTTCTTACCCTTGCTCTTTCAAAACAGTGGCCCATACATCAACTTGATGTAAATAATGCCTTCTTAAATGGCGATTTAAGTGAAACCGTGTACATGCAACAACCTCAAGGATTCTCTATTGGTGATAAAACTACTGTATGTCGTCTTACCAAAGCTCTCTATGGCTTGAAGCAAGCCCCTCGTGCTTGGTTTGACAAACTTAGTACAACATTGCACACTCTTAGTTTCACCCCTACTAAATGTGATTCCTCTGTATTTGTTTCCTTCATTGCTACTTCTACCACCTATGTACTTGTATATGTTGACGATATTCTAATCACTGGTTCTTCCACTACTGTAATCAACTCCCTTATTCACAAACTCAACCAAGCATTTTCTCTTAAAGATCTTGGACAACTTCATTATTTTCTGGGTATTGAAGCTAAAATGGATCCCTCTGGCAATCTCAATTTGAATCAATCAAAATACATTAAAGATCTTCTCAAGAAAGCTGGCATGACTGATTGCAAGCCTATGCCTACCCCCATGGTCTCTGGTCTCAAATTATCTTCCAAAATAGGTACTGCCTTTTCTGATCCAACTTTGTATCAATCAATTGTTGGTGCACTCCAATATGCAACTGTAACTAGGCCTGACATCTCCTACCGTGTCAATAAAGTCTGCCAATTTATGCACTCTTCTCTGGACACTCATTGGAAGGC